GCAATGCTGTAGTCTAAACCAAATCCTTTATTAAAAAATTAGAAAAATTTGGAATAGCAACGGCATGATTGCCTCACCTATATTGGTACACTAAATAATAGGAGAAGCAATATAAAATGGTTTCACTGAAACCTACTTTTGTACTCCATAATGATTTTGTTAATTATGTATGAGATCTCTTCCTGCCTCACTGATTTTAATCTTTTATCTCTGGCTTCCACTGAAGGCTGCAGCAAAACAGCAAGCATTCAGTCAAATCATACTTCAGTTGGATGCAGGGACAGACAACCCCGTTTTTTACAGAAGTAGTTTCCCTCCTATAATACACATCTGTACATTGAATGCATTTTTAACTGCTCTTTAATACTTGGACTGCATTGCATATTATAATCACGTACAAATTTACTTCATCGTTTTCTTAAAGAAAATGTACCTTTCAGTGCTTCAGTTTACAACATAAAATCAATACCACTTAGTGATAATCAAAGCAGCTTTTTTAATGTAAAAAAAGAAGTGATCTTTTCATCATCCTGCAAATTTCACCCTGTGGCTGTGTTTTGTGAGACACTCCCCGCACATAACCAGATGTTGAATTAACTGACCTTTGATCTACCACTATCTACAATGGTCAAGATTCAGCAGGGCTTGGCAAGAATGTGCATTTGTCATGTTAGTATCATTTTGACAGAAAAATTCTGTTTTACCCACAATCTCAATTTTAGTTTTGAACATTTGCATACCTACAGTACTTCTAAAATCTACAACTAATATTGGTTATGTGCCATCAAATCAGCGTTCTTAGCAACCACACCGTTTCTCCAGGATATTGTGATATTATCAAAATGCAATGCTTCTTCAAGCAACTCTTCTATTATCTGTTTCTTTTTCTTATTCAGAATTACCTTGAGATAATTAGCTACATACAGTAAGTTTTATAGACAAGGCTTCCCATATATAAAATATCTACTACTATGTGGCTAATTCCAATAATATATTGGTATAAAGTATAACTGTGAACATATGATTTAAGTTTATTTATAAATGTAAGCTGGACATGGCCACCATGAAAAAAAAAAGCTAATGTATTGAAAAATGTTTATTTTCAGATGTTTCTAACTAGTAAGACAGTGTAGATGCCCAAAGTTACAGAATATAGTGTGAAATGGAATATATAAATAATCATACAGTACAAGTAATCCCGGGGTTAAGAATGGTTTATGGATATCCCATAGTTAAAAACGGAGCCTATTGTAACAAAATTCAAGTTAAATACACAATGATTTGAGTTAAATACACAATACTATTTATATAGTATTATACAATAATACTGTTCTGGCTTACGTACAAATTCGATTTAAGGACAGACCTTGGGAACAGAACTCATTCTTAAACTGGGGACTACCTATATACTATTAGCCATATTTAAGTTTCCATTACCCACAGGCTTTTTGCTATTCATTTCCACCTAACACTTCTATCAAACTAAGTGGGAAAAATATGGGTCCAGAATTACTATCTCCATAATTATAATTTATTTAAAAGCAATTTGAAATGGTATCAAAAGTTGCCATAATCCTTTTTAAGTATCATAAGACATTTTTTCGTCAACTGGGCTAAACAGAAAGGCATTCTTTCTGTCCTAAACCAGGGTGAACCAGCAGTCAGAATTTCTTTTACAAAAACCTACCCTTTAAGAACACAAACTTGTTTAAGCAGATACCATATTTGGAAGTGATCTTGGTCAAGAAAAATAATCACAAGAGCAGCACATTCCTTTTCACTCATGTGACTGGGAAAAGTAAGCAAGCAAACTTGTCCTAAAAGGTGGGGCAGAAATAGATCATACAAATCACAAATGTGCATGCACACACAGGCATCATCATACACTTCTCTTACCATCTGTTAAAAAGTCAAATGATTCCCATACAGGGAAGCAGGATACACATTAAAATATATCTAAAGAATCTTCAAAGTCTAGGCACTTTACATAACTTAACAAAGGTCTTGTCAGCTGAGTTGCAATCTTAGGCAAAACACAGCAGGGAAAGGGACTGGAAGGAAAGGGATATATATGCAGGATTAATTAGAAAATGCCATTGTAAAGAAGCAAGACTCCAAATCAGGGATTTAATTTATGTAAAAAATTGCATACCTTGCCCTTATCCAGTAGAGCTTTCTGTGGAAGCCTCGTCCTTACTATGCACATAAAATTTCTGTACTGGATGTGGCTCCTACCACACTCATAAATATGCACATAACTTCCTTTAAGCACACATTTTGATGTTTATTTAAAATATTTTTATTCCACTTTTCTACTTAAAAAGTGCTCAAAGAAGCTAAATCAATTGAGTCAACAAAGTCTAACATAATCTTGCATTAAAACAAACTTGTTTGCAGATGAAGAAACAAAATACAGCTTAAATAATTTTAAGGTTTCTAGATTGGGTGGGGGTTGCATCCAATTAAGCCAATTGTTTTGTAAACCATTGTGAATCTGTATTGATTTAGAAGTAAGTAGAATGACTAAATAAATCTCTCCTGTAAAAACAAACACCCTCCTCCAAACTTTGAATTCAATGGAAGCTTCCATGAACAGACAGATGTTTTCTGCAAATTTCTTCTCATTTAACTTTCCACATTGTTCCAAAGTATCTTCCAATTCTCTGGACTACATGTGGAGAGGAAGAGGTTCATGGGGAGAATGACAAAGGGAGAATTAGCAAAAAGACCTCCTTGTATCTCACTGGAATCTCTGCTGGATCAGGGCCTTCCATCAGCAGAACAGACACAACTGGACAAACCTTAAACCTGCAGTGCTTATAAATTTATCACTGACAGCTTTTAAAACCAACATACTTCTTTAACGAAGTGGTTATGTATAAATACAGGACAATTTTTTTTCTTATTCAATGCATACAGAAAAGAAATATACAATTTTATTTAATGACGCAGGTAGAAAACATGCATATAGTGAAACTTTTTTTTTTTTTTTTTTACAGACTTGCATTCCTTCCAGAACTGAAAATGTATTTACTGGTTAGCTTTATATTCAACTTTTTCTCCAAGAGCTCAAGTCCGGATGCATAGCACTCCTATCTCCAATTTTTCCCCATAATAACCCTGTGCAGCAAGTTGGGTTGAGAGAGACAGAGAGGAAGAGTCACCCAGTGACGTTCCACAGCTGAGGGTGGTGGATTTGATCTGTTTCTCCCTGATCCTAGTCCAACACTTAAACTACTGCCACACACTTACAAGTACAGTAAGAATTCTTTTTTCCCCCTATAATGAAGTATCATTACGGCTTTTCTAAGAACTTCTCAACATAAAAGTATTTCAAATCAAAATCATGCTCCCACCTCTCTTCTCTTTCTAGTACCTTCGAAGTTGTTAAATTTAAAACAAAAGCATAAAAGAGCCACAATGCATCACACAGAAAGTGACATTGTCTAAAAGCGAAAGAGTTAACAAGTCTCAACCTATTTAATGTTTTGAAAAATATGTACGTGTGTTTTGACATGTTAGAGAGGGTGACCCAGGTTGTCTACTTGGATTGGCAACAGAAAACTTTATCGCAAAAGCTGCCACACTGGCAATGCCTGTAGGCAATAGGGGCAAAAAAGATGGTTTGAGATCTATTAGATGCAACTCCCCTCAATTCCTCAGACATTCCAGCACTTGGGAATGAGGTACAAAATTAGGACTGTCCTAGAACTGACATGTATTTTTCCTTCCATTAAAATCAAAAGGAAGGAAAGTTTTAAAAAGCTGGTGAACAAATGAATACGTAATATAATCCTCCCTTCCACTTTTCTCCTGGATGATGTGAGGCAAGCAGGGTTAGGAACTGGCAATTCCTTTACCAATAATTCTCTTCCCATTGCCGTAGATTCCCTTTTCTTCCAATTCCATGGCAATGCTCTGTATGTTTTTAAATTTAGAGCTCTGTTCATATTTTACATTGTAAAACTGGCTTTTGCCCAGAGGATCACACTTTTCCATCGGACATTTCCAAACTGGACAACTTTTCTGCCCAAAACATCATTGCTATTACATGCCTACTGATACTTCCAATGATAGAGTAATACTAAAATTAAAATTACAGGAATTTGAAAAAAGTTCTCCCTTAAAAGTTCATATGGGAACCAAGGACGGTTAGGCACTCCAACATCAAATGTGATCCTCAAATAGGCTGCTGTGTTACAAGATAACAGTCACCAACGCTGAAGGTGTTTGAGTAATTCTTTTTATGTAATAATGAAAAAAAAAACTGGAAAAATAAACTACCCCCCACCTATGCAGTGAGCTAGATTATATCTATTCTTCTGTCAAAAAAGACTTCTCATGTTACAGAAGTACAATATTTTCATTAATTAAATATACATTTGTATTACTTGGCTGATTTCTAAAATGTGACACTGTTACCCATCGGCATCATGCCACCTCTTTTTTGAGGTGACATTCTAAAAGATCGTAAGATGTCCCAGACTGTCTACTTGGACTGGCAACAGAAAGCTTTACTGAAAAAGCTGCCACACTGACATTGCCTGTAGGCAATAGGGGCAAAAAGATGGTTTGAGATCCAGTGGATGCAACTCCCCTCAATTCCTCAGACACTCCAGCACGTGGAACAAGGTACAAAATCAGGGCAGTCCTAGAATTGGCATATATATTCTATTAGATGCAACTCCCCTCAATTCCTCAGACACTCCAGCACGTGGAACAAGGTACAAAATCAGGGCAGTCCTAGAATTGGCATATATATTCTATTAGATGCAACTCCCCTCAATTCCTCAGACACTCCAGCACGTGGAACAAGGTACAAAATCAGGGCAGTCCTAGAATTGGCATATATATTTTTCCTTCCATTAATTTTTTTTTCATAACACACAACAGAGGAAATTTTACTCTTTAAATAATTTTTCTTTTCCAAAAAGGTGAGTCAGAAAGAGCTGTAACATCCCACTCCTGCTTGAAATACTTCAAACTGAGAATGTACTATATACTTTTCAGGAAGATTATTAACTGGCTTTATTCAGTAAGTTGAAAATGGAAACAATACAAGTGAAACAAGTTTAATTATGCTCATCTGAAACTCTGGTTCTATATGCAGAAAACAATCCCCCACCGAAAGAATTTTGATCTTGATCTTTAATCAAATTACAGTATTTTTAAAAAGTAATGTACAAATAAGCAGTAAACAACAAAGGTAAACAAAAATGTTTCACAAATGAGAAACTGGTAGAGAGAGTTGCTCCAAATATTTATAAAACTTTGTATCTTCCTTTGTTGGTTGGTTGGTATGAATTTTGCTGCAAGAGAACAAATGAGTATGTTGTTAATCAAAGATGCAATTGATAATGGTTAAGAGAATACTAACTCAATATGACTATAAAAAGCAACAAAAAACATGTGTTTAATTCAGAGTTGCATAGAACAGACCTCTACAAATTGGATTATTCTGAGGCAGAGCAGGGGATGCAGCTTTCATTAATTCCTCTCAATACTCTTGAAAATCTATACTAAATGGTGGAAAGTCTTTAAACCATTGTATGAGCTAGCATTTGGGGGTAGGGAATGCTGCAGAAGCAAGAAGAAACTAGAAGAAAAATTGCCATCTTCTTCCAATACAGAAAATCCTTCTACCATCAGAAGGAGCCTTCTGTTTTAAGAGATGATTCTGGATTTAATCCTTTGAAATGGAGCTAAGGGGGACTGCAGTCTTATCATAGAAGGTACCATATTGTTCCGTGTATAAGATGATACTTTTTTCTAAAATCGTTACACTAAAAATTGAAGGTTGTATACAAGGAAGTAAGCCAAGGAGAGAACCACGTGGTTGCGAAACTGCCCATACTTTGTCTCTGCAAACAGGCTTCCTCC